TTTATAATATTTTATTATTCGATTCTTGAGATTTTTTGGAGCTTAAAATTATAGTAATCTTGGAGAAGCAGAAGTGTGATTGCAGTGAAAAAAATGTTAAAAGAATTGTAAAGTAAGGAAGGGAGAAAAATAGGACTTTTTACATTAAAATTTATAAATATTCACGCATGTTAAAAAATAATTTTTGTGAGTTGAAATAATCATTTTTTAAATAAATAATTTTTAATAAATTAACATGCTTGAATAGATTGTTATTTAATAATAGTTTACACAAAATTTTGTATTCTGATCTTGAAGTAGAACAATCTAGTAATAGTATATAAATTTGAAAGTTATATTCATTTTTAAAATTCTAAAAAAATCTATATGGTATTAATTTTGTTCCAATATCAGAATAAAAAAATTTGTATAGATATTATTATAAGGATAGTCCATAATAAAGCATTATAAGCAATTTTTTTTAGAATTTATTAGAAATAGCAAGAAAGTTTTTTTTTATATTTTAGAATTTATATGTGAGTAGTACAGATTTTCGAGAAGCAATGATGATTAATTTTTCATTTTTTAAATAGACTTTCATGACTGTTAACACACATAATCGACATACGGTCTTTTACAAGAAACAATCATAAATCTATATTTTAATGTTATTTATATTTTATTATAATATATTTTACTAATTGAATATTTTACATGATATTTTATATTTTATGCCATCAAGTATAAAATAACTTCTTAACTAATAATGTTTAAGCTTAACGTCATAATTGTTTTTTGTAGAAAAGAAAAACTTACATTGATTAGTGTAACTTTTCTTCCATGAGATTCCATTTAAAAAATAGAAGATTTTTTTTGCTAAAAGAAATGTAGCAGTGATTATATAAAAAGTTCCTAAAAATTGTGAAAGATTAAAAAAAAATTTTATCACTAATTTCTAATAAATTCCGCAAAAATAACTTATAACACTTTATTTAAGCTATTATGTAGTTTTATTTTAATAATATAAAAAATAGCTTTAAGAGTATTCAAAATGATTTAATCAATCAGATAAATTTTAAAATAATTAACTCTGCAATCCATTTGCTACAATTGTTTCAAAATATATATTTCTTTGTATTAATCAATTAATCAAATGCTTCGAAGCATTGCTGTCCTAAATGAATCGCAGCCTATGACAAATAAGATAGCAGTTGAGACGATAAAATGTTTGGATTTTCCGATTTCTTTGAATCCTATATTTGAATTCAATGGATTCATCTTGTTGAGAATACGCACCATTTTTTAACTTTTTCATCGGAGGAACAATCGAATGTCCATATTATCAAGTTAAAAAAATGAACGCTTAAATAGTATCCTTATAGTGAAACTTTTTTTGAGTAATTAATCTTACTTTAATGACGTAAGATGGAAATATTGCTTTTTCTCTTGCTTGCTTTCTCATTTTAACATGATTCTTACATGGCAAACATAAACGTCAAGAGAGCAAAGCAAGATCTTATCTGAGCATTCAGCTGATTCACATACAATGAGAAATTTTATCTAGATGGATATTCGATCGTAATCATTGAGTTTTGGAAATTTCTAGTGCAGAAATAATATTGAAAAAGAAAGGAAACAAACTGTTTTCTTAAAAAGATTAAATGGGCACTGACTTATAATAAAAGTCCTTGATAGAAAATTAATACTTTTTTTAATGTACCAACGATTACCAAATAATTTTTGTATTTATATCGTAAATTGTGAGTACGTAGATATTCAAACATAAGTTACATAAGTTATTAATGATGACATTCGTTAGTGTGTATTAATTATAGCATGTATAAAAGCAAACAATTATTACATGCTCATATTAATTCATAAGTTTTGTATATCATCATTGTAAATATACTTTTGTATATATTTCCTATATTTCTATATTTCATATTCAATGCACAAATGCAAATAAATTCTAGAAATGCGAAGGGGCAACCAGAAATAAAACTCGCAATTTCTTCATTGTCCTCCTATAAAATCAGAATAGACTTTAATATAAATCTTTAAATATAGATAATATAGATAATATAGATAATATGCACATAAAATACAATAGATTACAAGCAATAATATAAGATCTTTTATTAAAATATTTTATTGAAATTATTTATAACTTTTTACATAGACACTTATCACATTGACACAGTATCAAATTTAATATTTAATTATAATATAAAAAGGTAACAAAATTTTTTTATTATTCTATTTTAAAAAGTATAAAAAATGTTTATCGTAAAATGTATATATAATTGAGCAATGAACAACTTTGAATTTATCAATAACTAATTACCAATAACATCACATTTGTAATAGGTCTTATTCCTGAAGCAAAATATGTGATTTATAAATATATTTACTTAACAAAAAATATTCTCATATGTATAAAACGCAGTATGTAACAAAAGTAAGTAAACATGTAAATGTTTTTAATATTCGAATACTTTTTTCTAAAATCTGGAGCAATGGTAATAGGCAATGTCAGGGCATGATTCTTCATTATTTTTCCTGTATTATTAAGGAATTTATTTTGTTTATTATATTGAATTTATTAAATCACGGTATTTACAAGACTTACAAAAATAAGTAAACATCTTGAGTTTTTATTTTATTGTGTAAGATGTATTTTTATATAATCTATATTATATTATAAATTCATAGAGTCTAGCAATCATTTTGATGTATTTGGATTATATTGCTATTAAAATATATTTTTTTTATTTGTTAATATATGTTTGGCATTCCTTTTTTTAAGATTAACACGAAAAAATGGCTTGGAAAGAAGCATTTAACCAACGAGGAGAGAAGAATAATTAATTAAAAATAAAAAATGAGGGAAATAGACATCGAGAAATTACTCGAAATTTTTTATAAAAATTTTAATAAATTTTAATAAATTTTTAATAAAAAACTGGCAATCATTTTTAAAATAGTTGCTGCATAAAAATGATGAACGAGTTTTAGCTGCCAAAATCAGGACGTCCAAAAGTCACTGATGTTCGAATAAATAAAAAAATAATGAATATTTCATCAGATCTCTTTTTTTCTGCGCCCACAATATGTTTAAAATTATTATGTGAAGGTAAGAATATACCATATTCGCCGTCGATTACATGTATCGGGCAAACACGAACACGTCGCAAAGAAATTATCCTACGTGAATAAAAAAAAATCTTAAAAAGCAAATCGACTTTTACAATAAATATGTGTTAAAACTGTTGACATTTTAGAAAAATGCTCTTTGGACTGATGAATTCATTAAACTGAAATATAGCTATAGACGGATATATGTCTGGAGAAGACAAGAATTTTTATCTTTCCAATGTACCAAATCAACATTAAAATCAATGAAACAGAGCATTAAGATTAGGAGATGCATGTTACATTTTACAGTAGGAAAAATTATAATTTTAAAAAGAAAAATAAATTCTCAAGTTCTTACCTTAACTTACTAAAAGAAGAATAATTTCAAAAGAGAAACGACTGATAAGAAATGATTTTATTCTTCAACAAGATGATGCACAAGGAAATCGTTACCAAATATTTACAAGAAAGTGTAATAAATATATTAGAATGGCCTCCACAAAGTCTTGATTTCTCGCCAATAGAAAATATGTGGTCTATTTTAAAATTGCGTGTTACGCAGAGAAGATCATGAAACATTAAGAAATTATAGTTAATAGAAAAAAATGTGGCGATATTTACTATTGAAAAATGTACGTAAAAAATATACGCTTTCCTTATCAGATTGCGATTATCGATTAGCAAAACTGTCATTACAAAATGGCAATCATTGTGTCAATGGCAATATTAGTTTGTTTATAAAATTTTTTGTTTACTTACTTTTGTAATATGCGTTCACAACATAATTTGAGTTTTAATTTTTTTGTTTAAATAGAATCTTAATAAAAGTTTTGTTAGTTAAGTAGTTAATTACTTATATTCTTATATAATATGAATAAATATTAATATAAATTTATTGTATAAAATTAAACATTTATCTTCATTTTAATGTTTTTTTGTTAATACATAAACTGTTTACTTTTGTTACATATTGTATATATATTTTGGATTGCATTATATAAAAGTATACTTTTATATAATGCAATCCAAAATTTATAAACAAATGAATTAATGAAAATAATCAGAGGAATCAAATGTATTTTGAAAATTACAAGGAGGAAATTCATTAGAGTCTGCAACTTCGCATGTCGAAAACTATAAATTTCCTTTTGTAATTTATACACAATCATTTAAAGATATACACAACTCTCTGATTATCATGATTATTCATTATACATTCTCCATAAAATCTTGGGACATATTTGTCCATTTAGGAAATATTAAAAAATGAGTATAGTGCTTATGAAATAGAACCTGAGAGAAAGTCAATTGTAATTATTATTATAGATATGTGATTGATTCTGCTATCTTTTTCCTCTGTTTTAAATTGGACTCTTACTTTGAACTTTTCTAAATAAATAACTTATTACATCTTACTATATTCTTGTAATTATGGCTTCTAATTATTATAATGTAAATAATGCTGATTTACATATATGTGTCAATATGTTACTTCGTGAAATATAATAGTAACATCACGGTATCACATGCATTCTAATATGTATCTTAAGCTATTCATTATCTCATAGATTAAAGAATTAAGAGTACAATTTATATCTTAATTTTTCATTAAGTTTAGCAAAGATTCTAATCCTATGAATCACAACGCTCGATTTACCATTTATATACCATTATAAATGGTATCGTTCTTTTAATTAAAATATTATTATTATTCTATGTTATTTCTATATTATTAGTTCTTTAACTTAAAATATATTTACTCTTATTTTATAATTCATGAGCATTTGTTATCAAGCCGTGTAAGCTGTATGTAACTATATCCAACTCGCAAATTGATCAATCTAAAAATGCAAAATGTCATATTGAGATTTATCTCACATTCCAAAGGCGTTATATATTCGTACAAAGTCAATGACTGTAAATTTAACAAGTGATAAAATAAAATACCCAAGAAATATTTTTACATATAGTTCACATGGTTTTAATATAATTTTTTTATCACAGTCACACATATTTAAGGCTCCTGAGTAGTCATCGCGACCATATTGGAATCGTCACGTCATAAGCGAGAAATGACACAGTAAAGTTTATTGCACTAATTTTGCAAATAAAGAGATATTTGAAATAACACCTGATATGACTTTAAGACACTTGTGAAAATGGACGACTGTTATCCTTTCTCTTCGTGATAGTCAATAAATAGCTAAAGTAGCAATAAAAAGGTAAAAACGTGAAATGCAGCCTGTTCAGACAGAAAACACACGATTTGACAGCTGTTGAAAGAAGTGAAAAAAATGCTTTTACATGTAATGTCCAAAGATAATTTTAGCTGCCACCCATTTTTACGAATTTGGTAAGTACGAAACAAGTCACATCTGCACGATTAAGAATATAATAACGAAAATAGCTGCAATAAAAAATTTCGTTGTCTGTATTGTCACTTATATAAAGGTGAACAAGGACAAGGATAAGATGAACAAGGATGAATGAGCTTCTATTTTTCATTGCGATGGTACGTCGCTACCGTCAATCCTCACCGCGGAGTTCTTAGCTGAATATTCAGGAGCCTTAATATAACCTTTTTTAATTTCTAATAAATCAAGTGATATTATAAAAATTATGTGAATGATGCATTGAATAGTCTAATTTTTTCAAAATTTACTTCATAATGTCACAAAAGAAAGAATAAATTCTTCTAAAAAATAATAAATATTTCGTTTATATATCTTTGTGTTTACCTGTTCGATTCTATTTGCTGTAAAGATAATCTATTGCCTTTTCGTAGATATGCAATTATGCTTGTGTAACAGGACACTTCTGCTATCTTATCTGAATGAGTGCTACATGTCACGAGTTTTTTTTTTGTTGATGAATTTAGAGAATTTAATAGTATCCAGTAAGAATTATTCTCCATGTTTTTGTAAAAAATCTGTAATAAATCTTTTTATCAATTTTTATCAGTAACAAAAATACAAACGTCGGTTTGATATAAATATTATACATGCTCGTAAATGCTATAATTGAAATATAATAACAATGAAATGATAAAATAGATAAATTATTAATAGATAAGTTATAATCAACCAAGAAAAAAAGAAAGAAAGTTTTTTATTTTCTATATTTCGGATGAAAATATATTTCTTCCCAATTTTTCGCTAAGAGATCATAGAGATCATCAAGATTTTTGTTTTAAATATAATATTAGGCATAAATAATGAAATTTTAGTAAAAAATATATGCTATGTGAAGCCACATCCGTCACATATGCGCAGTGAGAATAAAAAAGATGCATTGTCATTTGTAAATATCTTTATCGGAATAAATTTTGATACATGAAAATCAAATAATCGATGCTTTAGTATTATTATAGTTGAAAAAAACAAGATAGTTTTTACCTGAACAGAAATTATATATAAACCATTTTGGCCAATTTCGATCGACATATTATTCTCCACTAAATGAAAGTTCTTGAAATCATGTATAGTGCTGTCCGGTTGATATTTGATCCAAGGACCGATATAAACTGAAAAAAAATTATTTGTATAAATATCTCAAGCGCAATCAATTTGTCAACATGTTATGTTGTTGTTAAATTTACTGACGAAATGTTAATATACTTCTAATTTGCTAATTTTGCTTATTAAATATCTTCGGTATAAATACCTTCAGTATTTGTAATGGTTGGGATTTCTTGTTCCGGTATTGCACCAACGAATGTAACTAACATACCTATAAGATTAAAATTATTTCTTAAATCTAGTTGACTTCCATCATATAAATTACATGAGTTTAGCGTTAGACGATTAAGTAAAGTCGATTTGATATAAAATCTAATAAATAAGGGAATTTTGCTGAACTCGTCTGCATTGCTTCCCGTCAGCAAAATGTTAGCAGAATGTTGGCAAACTAGCAACAGATTTAATCAGAAAATGTTAGCAGATTGACTTCATCTGAGTTCTCATTTTGCTTACATTCTGTTAACAGAACCTGTTGACATTCTGTGTCAGCAGACTGGCAACAGAAATTGAGCAGATCCTGCCATCAAATTGTGTCGCGCAGGTCTTGCTCGATTTCTGCTGTCAATCTGCTGGCACAGAATGTCAACAGATTCTGTCACGTTTCTGGCAACAGTTTGCTAACATTGTCAGATATTACAGAATCTGTTAGCTTTCTAGCATCAAAAATTTATAATAGACTTTGCGCATAATCTGTCTTTTCAGATTTGGCTATCGGGGCTGATAGAATGCGATATTTTTCGTAGCAATTTTTTTTATGTAGTACTTTTATAGTTTTGGAAATCCTTTTTCACAATTAAAGTTCATGCATTAATACATATTTACTATATGAAATTCGCGTCATGAATGAGAAAAATTTTTTTAATTTCAATCTTTTTTATCATTTGCTACTTTAACATGGGCGTCCAGAGTTATTAGCTATTTGCTTCATATAAAAAACTTCGCAGACTGTACCTATAAAACTAGTATTACTAAACTAGTAGATTACATGAAGAAATAACATTGAGTTTTTAGGCCTGATAATAGTGATATAAAAAGTGTACACAAAAACTTGTTCATAACATGTGCACAAATGTATGTATGAGTGTATGTATGCATGTATATATGAATGTATGAATTTACGTATGTTGGACATACAACGTGCATATGTATGGATGCTTTCATCAAATTACTTGTCTCTCCAGTGTCACCTTAAGTCCGTTTCTGTGTCACAAGAATAAGAATATTAATATTAATGAAGAAAGAAAATATACTTGATCGATTGCGATTACGTTTTCGTTCTCTTCCATTCCATCGCCAGTTTTTCTGTTTTTCTTCGCCCTGTTGCCATATTTTATCTTCGTTCTTGCACAGTCTTTTATTTTTATTTTTTTCTTTTCGTGTTGCGATATTTTAGTTATTTCCTTGTTTCTTTGTATTTTTTTCGATTCCAACTCTCTCAACTCATAATCATTTAATCCATCTTGCGTCGTTGTCTCAAATTGCGAGAAATTTTGTTTGTTGTTAAAACTATTAGATTGGTTCTTTTTTTTAAATATTATCTGCGTCATGACATTAAGATCGGAGATGTTTCTGTCGTGTATTTCGGCATCTTTTTTAAATCTCACATTTCCTTTATCTGTTGATCGTTTTATAATATTCAGACTTGTTTTATTAACACAAGGAATTGTCATAATGTTGCTACAGTTATTATCACTTTTGATCTCCGTTACATTGGAGAGCTCGAGAAAATAAGATTTTATTGATATCACAGAATCATCATAATCTACTAATCGTTGGAACGTTGGAGAATATCCCGAATCAGTATGAGTCCTCGGAGAACGACATACTGATGTGAGGGAGTCCACCTAAAATACGAAACGGGAGAAAATATTAATTTGAAATAAAATTAAATTTCTAAGATTTAAAATGTATAAATTATATCTACCCGAGAGAATAGTTTAGAAATAAATTTAAATTATGATACGATATAAAGAATTATATAATTATGTCATTTCAACTGTAAAAGACTGCATTATTTCTTGCACAAATAAATTATCAATATATTGATTGACATGGTCATTCGTAATAGATGCCATTTCAAAAATCTTTTGAAATGCTTGTAAAAAATAAATGCCATCCGATATAAACTTTTAAATAATACAACTACATACTGTATAAAATAAAGTAAAAAGTGGACTAATCGATATACTGCCATGAAAATATGGTTTTATTTTTAATTATATTACGAAACATGCTATTATTATATACTCTTACACGGTACAATTCATAAGTTTTTAAAACATAGCTATATAAAATAATTACTTTAGAAAAATATTT